GTGATGATGACTGAGAATGAGTTAGGGATAAACACTAGTCAATGAAATATCAGTTAGAGGCATAAAATCCACCAACAAAACAACAGGTTACCCAGACAAATATGAAAGGGCAATATAACAGAAGTTGCAAGGAAGAGTCTTATATCCGGAAGTGGCAGCACCCTAGGGACAAGCACCCATGGAGCCGAATAGGGGTTTACGAGGGGGAGGAAAAATTCTGATGAGGCCTTCCTTTAAGGCTGCCCTACAGGCACAAATTATGACCCTAATGAGAACCAGAGGGATTAAGAAAGGATTTCAGAATGTATATATAAGTAACCAAAGGAAATAAGTAAGGCAAACAATGTAACCCTTAAAAGTAGAGAAAATTCTAGCGTGGTGAAACAGTAAGGAGAGATATAGAAAAGATAAAGAAAGCGAAAACAGGAGAAGAAGAAGCATCATTAGGTCACAATCAGGCGACCCCCATGCCTGACAGGGAGCTAATGGAAAGCATTTTAACGAAGAATAGCACAAGAAGCGCGTAGAAAGGCATATGAGTATTAGCTCCAAAGGATCGAAAATATTTTTTAAGGAGTAAATCATAGATCAAAAGAAAGCTCAGCACCCCCAGAAACGGAGGGATTCAAAGTATAGATATGATCGATTAACTACTGAAAGAATAATCAGAGAGTATCCCCAATAATAAGCCACACGCGTGGAAAACTCCAAAGGCGAAAGCCTAAGTATATTAGCGAAAGCTAGCATGAAATTATTAGTTGAGGGGAACTCAATTCCAAAGAGACTGCGCAACGGGGGCTCAATTTCTTGCCTAAAATATATACCAAAGTGAAGAAATCATATTAAGACGAGTGAGAGAAGTATAGAAAGATAAGTAACGAATTACCAAAATGAGCAAAAGTGAAGAAACAGAAGGACGAAACAAGTGAGGAGTCCAGTGGAGCATTCCAATGCCTGAACTAAATGCAATTATAACAATATAATGGAATCCTATTAATAATAGAAGTCCAAAATCAGCTCCCAGTGAGACTTACAATGGGCAAACTATCACCGAGGGCAAGACAAAGAGTGATAGGCATCGGCCTTAGAGCTAACCTACTTAAAGGGGCAAAGAATAGATAAAAATTCTAATCGCCTGGGGGAGAATAATTATTAGGGTCACTTTTAAAGAAATAAAGTATCTCCAGAGACAGGACTGGTCGAGATTAGGACCAACGGCACCTCAGAGTTGGCCCGGTCCAAACCAGCCAATGATACAACCCAAAAGGGAGCTCAACTAAAAAAGTGATCTCTCCAGGATATTAATGAAATAACCATAAGATAATGGCCCCAAGAAAGGAGCCACGGAGCAACCTAACTGGACAAGAGTAATGGGGATAAGGATAAATCTGAGGAAGAGAACAGAGTCCAGACGGATGAATAACAGTCCCCAAGGACTCGTTGTCAGAGGAATAAGGAAGACGAGACTATTCAGCAGGAATAGAATTCTCCCCAGGAGACCCTACAGGGACTAAAATAGCATAGGAGGAATCTGGGAGCCCCCCCAGGCGCGGAAAAAGTAAGTCACAGAACAGACACGCGAAGCAGTTAGTTCAGCAGGATACAGATAAGAGGGAAGAAGGATTGGATGACCAATACTCCAAAGAATTCTACCCTGCGGAAGACTTCCAATGAGAAACCACGGCCATACTAGTTCGCAGAGCAGTAACAGAAAAGAAGCGAATGAAGCAATATTAAGACACCTACAAGTAATCCTAATACCGAGACAAGTACACAATGCTGGACAAAGCGACGCGAAGCAGAGACGCGTTGCCAGAGAAAAATGACAGGCTAAGTAGTATTTGATGGTACAGTAGAAACCTCCCTCAGGTTTCAGGGTGAGAGAAGAGAGCCTACTCATTTCTGAATAACTAAATATTAGGACCCCAAAGGGACCCACAGAATAGAAAAGTCTGCTAATCCAGCCCCATTAAGCTCTGCCCGAATCCGTGTAGGGAACGAAGGACAGAGGAGGATTGGACCAAGCCAAGTGAGCACATCCAGGATTAACCCAGGGACAAGGGCCTAAAGGAACCGCATCTCCATCTTCGAATCCCTCCCCGTTAGAATAGTAGTTAGCTAAATAGTGCCCCACAAGGAGTATAACGCCGGCCTGGATAAGGGAAGGAATGAATACGAGAATAGGGGCAAATCAAAAAGTATGGGTAGATACAAAGCAGAACAACTGAAGTTAGACAGGCAATATGACTACCAGTAATTGCAACAGAAGGCGCCCAGTATCTCACGAAACCTAAGAAGACGGATCCCTAACGAAGGAGAATATTTAAGTAAATTAACGGCTTTACAAAGAGGACAACAGATAGGAAGGAGGATGAGCCCTGTATACGAACAGACTAGCAGAAAAAGTAAAGAAAGGGCCCAAGCAGAAAAATAGTTGAAAAACATCTAACAGTCCAAGATTAAATCCTGAGTCTAAAACAAAATTCTGTATCTCCCCCAACCAATTGACACCTACTCCCTAACATAATCCTCTGATCCCAGCCTTTATGTAAATCCATATATGCCAAAATACATATCCTAATCAAAAGATCCCAGCAGAGAATACTATAACCGCAGGAGTCATGAACACTGTTGTGATAACAGGTTAGAAGAACTAGATGTGCGGGTAATAATCCGCCTGGGGGGAAGAAATCAAATTCCCTAAAGGAGCCAGAAGCGAAGATAGGGAAAGACGGGGAGGAAATAAAATCTGGGGGAAACCCAGTCAAGGAATGATAGGGGTCTTTCGCATAAGGAAATCCAGAAGGAAAAGAGACAAGACTCCAACGATGAATCAGCAGGAGCAGATAGCAGAAATAGGCTCAAGTCAGGAGAGCATTTCACCACCACATGACTTCAGTAAGTGGGAAAGCCCATCCAAATGGCAGCTCAAAGGAGAAATACTTAACAGGGATAAATAGCTGATGCCCAGAAGACTGGACAGCACAAAATTCTGAAAGAAGGAAACCGTTAAACCACATGGGGGTTGGAATCAAGGAACGTCTGAGGCCCAAGAAGCACCCTCTGCGGAAGCCCGAAGGCGTGAAGAGGGAACGACGTCAGATCCGGAATTAAGAAGTTGAAGCCGCCTAGGATTGATAAAGAAACTCATCCAAAGCAAGAAGTGATTAAAATAGGAATGAACAAGCAGGTTACAAGATTGTATAGTCCTTTAATCAAACTACCGCACCCCACCACAACAGGTCCAAGCTGTAATAATCAGTAGCATTCCTCAAGGAAATGCATAACAACAATGAGTCTTTTTGAAAGAAGGAAAAGATATTGAAGTGTCCAAGTAGTCCGAAGCCAATGAAATCGTTTAAAAGGGAGGTACATGAGGCGTCTCCTCTTGAGTAGCAATCAAGGCAGATGCCAAAATCAGGAGAAATCCTTGTGTAACAACCTAACTCACCTCTAAAGTAGAGCCTTGTTGCACTAATCGCAGAATCCTAAGAAAAGGGGGGGAGTGTTCAAGGAAAGGAAACCCCCAAGAGGCAAGGAACACGCCTCGCCTTGAACGGAATAGGAACCGCAAAGTTGAGAACTCCAGAAGTGTGAAGAAATCAGCCTAGGAACGAATGAGCAGGACCAGCTTAAGGAGGCGGCGGGGAATTATTTATTATTAATAGAAGCGCCATATAACGGCCAGATTACGAGTGAGAAGGAATAGAAACAGGCACCGTAATAGGATCCCCTATAACAAGGAAGGATGAGGGCTGTTTAAGTACGCACCCCTTATAAATCTGATAAGAGAGACTATAGCAAGGTCAAGGATACTGTTTCTTATAGGCGTGAGAAAATTTAGCTGGTTAAGCAAAGGGCAAACAGGTCTCGCGAATAAGTGCCCTCAGATGATAGATAATCACTGGAACAACAACAACAGGGAGGATGTACGGGAGGGGATAAGGACAGGACCCAGACTTGGATGAACTAAGTGAGTGGCTCAAGTAATCAGGGCAGGAGTCCCGAGGGAGAAGTCGCCTCAGGGGAAGGAGGAGGAACATAAGAGAGAACAAGAAGGCTAGACGGAGCTGTAGGTGAGAATTTGAGAAGTAGGAGGGAGGATACTAGAGAAGACATCCGGGGCGGGGAGCACAAGCGGAGGCAGATGTAACGGGAATCAAGCAGGCAGGAATACGCTCTGGAAAAGGAGTAGGGGCATCTTTAATATCTCTTATCAGAAAAAGCAAGAGTCTAAGTGACGAAATAGATAAGTCAACCCTCCTCCAGGAGAAGGGAGGGCGGACAATAGAACCGAGACGAAAGAAGATACGAGTAGATAGGAACAGGTAAGAGGGGCACAAATTCATCTTAGTAAAGCAAGGATGAAAACTCTAGATGAGGGAGACGCCTGAGACAGGACCTAGAAACGAAAGAGGCGGGGAAAATTCCTATCAGGTGAAAGCAGTGCGCCAGAGTGCCTAAAGGTGAAAGGGGATCAGCCGAAGAAGGAACCTACAAGGGACCCCCGAGGGTCGGCAGAGGGGATAAGGGCAAGGAGTAGCGGGGGAGAAGAAAGGATCACCCAAGGAGAACAAATTGCCGTGAGCAGAGCAATCAGAAAAGACAGTAGGGCAGCCAGGCATAGCCGGAGGGAGAAAGGCAGGAAGAATGAGAAGGGAGCCGGACGGGGGAAGCCTGAAGACAAGGAGCAAGAGAGAAGGGAGGAATAGGAGAATGAAATCCTGTATAACTCCCAAGAGGGGGGCGAAGGCCAAGCGGGGCCCCAAAGAAACCTTGATGAGGGCAGGGAATGAACGTTGTGGATCAAAAAAAGCCTGAGAGAAGGGGAGTGGTCTAAACCTTAGAAACTTATATGAGCAAAGGAATAGAGAGAACCTAAATATGAAAGTTAATACCAGAGCCTGACCGGAAAAGGGTAAGGCCAATGAGTGTGAGAAGTTTTCACTTTATCATTAAGAAATAGAACAGTGGAATCAATTAAGAAAGGAGTTATAAGGATGTCCTTACAGCAACAGAAGGGGTTTCCTTTTTACGGCTATATGCTGGATATATTGAGCGGCAAGACCGGAACTTGTGGGGGAGGCTCGGAGGGGGAGAATAACTGGACGTTGTGTGATCTGAAGAATGCGACCTCAAACCCAGTAATCCAAGCTCTGGGAGAAGGATCTAGGTTAAAACAACAAGGCGAGCCAGGGATAGATGGAGTCATGAAGCATACAGCATCAATTTGTATAGGGTTAGCCATATGGGCTGCCAATCTGAGTAAAACCGAGGGAAGAGGAAATATATTCCAGGAGGGGGCCTGTAAACCCAATGACACGGGGAAGAGGATTACCGGAGGAACATACCAAGCGAGCAAGTGTCCCGAGCGGGGAAGGAGTGAGGAGTGGGAGAAATATGCGCGAGGGAGCCCAATGGATTGGAGCAATGAAAATGCAAAGACCTTGAGAGTGTGTCGTGACATAATAGAGATGCTAGTCCAATCTTTTAAGATGGATCATACAAAAGGAAAAGGGGGAGAGACCGTAGAATTGGATAAGGATGGTTGCGACCAATTTTACACTTTATTGAGGAAGTGGTCCAGCCAATCGATGGCAGATAGGATTATGTCGGAATGGTTTACAGACGGAGGGTATAACGTGGGAGGTAGCAAACAGTATACCTTAGGGGGGAATGATTTCTTTGAGGTAGTACAGAGTCTCATCTATACGGAAGGAGTGATAGATAAGGATTTCAGTTGTGGACTCAAAACAGATCTAAGCGGGAAAGCGTCTTCATTAGAGGGCAAATGGGGATATAAGAGTTTAAGGGAGGCAAAGTCTGAAACACACCCCATATCAAACAGGCAGGGGGCAGGGGGGCACCTTCAGGAAGAATCCTCAAAAGTCTCCACAGGCGAACAATCAGCGGGACAATCCCCAGGCTCCCGAAACGGAAGCAGTTCAACAAGAACCGGGGGGAAGGGGACAGAGGCAATAACTTCAGACTTCAGCCAAGGAAAACAGGGAACTCGAGACCGAAAAGACAATCGACTGGAAACCACAAGCTATATGGGGGGAAGCGGAGCAGGCCTCTGGGGCAGCGTAGCGGGAGGAATCGGGACATTATTAATGGCGTCGGCAGGTGCTTACGGTATATATAGAATATTGGGAACACCAGGAAAAATCAGGGACAGGAAGGGGACACTACGCTTGAAGCAGTCGGAGACTTTAGACGGTGCAGCGCCAGAGAGGAGAAATCGTGACAAATTTGTTTATGTCAGAGCCTCAACCACCCCGCCTTAGAGAAGGGGGGAAATGATCTGAGGGCGCAGGGAGGACTAAGGCAGAAACCCCCTTCAACCGTCCCGGAGGAATGGATAACACGCATAGGAGGCGAACGGGGGAGACCTGATAGATACCAAAGGAGAGTTTCTGAGGAGAAGGGGGAAGTCTAGAAGTCAGAGGAGACCCTCAATTCTTCTTGGCTGCGGGTCACCTCCCCAAGAAGAAGAGGGCATTGGGAGGCGAAATGGGGAACGTGTGGGCCACGGAAGGGGGCCGGGGAGTTTAGCATTGGCGCATTATGGTTTAGGATCCAGGGGGTGACAAAGGAATTTGGGGTTCCCAGGGGAGTAGAATGGGAGTACTGTGGAATGTAGGATTTGGTTTGGAGCCTACGGTTCAGGGCTCACGGCTCGGTGTACAGTCTTGAGGTTCAAGGGGTAGGGTTTACGGTTTATGTATAGGGTCCACGTTGTATGTTTATGGGTTCAGGGTTCAGGATTTGCGGCTCAATGTCCAGTTAGTAATTTTACGCCTCAACATTTCCTTTAGTGTCCAAGGTTTCTAATTTCAGCGATTATAGTCTAGGCTTCCTGGCTTAGGATTTAGGCATCCTGGCTCTAAACTTCAGGGTTCCCGTTTCACGGTTTAGAGTTTTCTGCTTGGGGTTTGGGGTTCAGGGCTCGGGTTTACGGTCTAGGGGGTTTAGGGTTTAGGGTTCAGGCTTAGGTTTAGGGTTCAGTTTCTGGGTTCCGATTCAGGTGTTCGGTTAGTTGTTCAGGACTTGAGGCTTTAGTTTTATGGCTTAGATTTGCGGCTTTGGCGTTTCTTGATTCACGTTTTAGGGTTCGTGTATCAACTCCTCTGAATTTATGGTTCAGTTTTAGGATTCAAGGCTTAATATTCAAGGATCTGGGTTCAGGATTTAGCGCTTAGCGATCACGCTTTAACGTTTCAGGATTCAGGGTTTACGCTCTAGTTCTTAGTTTTCATGTTTCAGTCTCTTTCATTTCCCGTCCTGCTTCAGGGGGCAGGGTTTAGATCTTAGGGTGTACGGTTTAGGGTTCATGATCTATAGTTTACGATTTAGATTCCAGGGCTTCGTTTTTACGGTTTAGTTTTTAGGTTTTAGACTTCAGTGTTTGAGCCTCTACGGTTTTGGTTTACCTCTCAAGTTTTCAGGTTCTGGATTCTGGGATTAGGATTGAGTCCTTAGTCCTTAGGGTTCAAGGGTTTATGGTTCAAGACTCCCGGTTCAGGATTCAGGTGTCGGCTTCAGGTGTTAGGGTTTAGGCTTCAGCTTCTAGGTAGTAAAGATCAGGCTTTTGACGTTATGGTCCTGGAGTTAACTCTTAGGGATCATGAGGCAGGATTAACGTTTCTGATTTATTATTGGGTGTTTAGCGTATGATTTCTCTGGCGCCTGGTTTAGGTTTTTGTCTCTAGGCGGTATGCTTCAGTGTTGGCGTGTTAATCTCGAAGTCATAAGCGAGAGGGTATACGCCTGATTCTTTGCGTTCATCGTGTTCCGTGTTCCGGTTAGAGTTTCAGGGTTCAGGGTGAAGGGTTTATGCTTTAGTTTTAATTTGAGGGATTTATTTCTTACAGTGTTGGTTTTATCGGGTCAATTTAGGTGTTGTGGGAGGGTAGTTTGGGTTTTGTGCTCAGCATTTATGTTTGTCGTTTAGGTGTCTGGTTGTTCGATTTAATCTTACGCATAACGTTTATGGCGTATGTTACAGATATGAGCCCTATTTTCCCGTTTAGTGTCTAGATTTCATTGCATAGCCTGTATTTCCTAAACTTAGAGGGGTTTATTTCTATCCTGGCGGGTATGCTTTCTATCTTAGTGTCTATGCGCTGTGTTGTTCGCCTCTTGTCATCAGCCCTCACTCATGAATCCTCCAGTAGTGTTTGCTTGATTAAGGCTTCGTTCCCGGTTTAGTTTTTACTGTTGGAAGCTTATGGTCCTTCTCTTATACTTAGATCCTATAGTTTAAGATTTAGCATTTAGGAGCTACGGGTTTGTATTTAAGTTTGATTTTCAGGCTTTGAATTTTACCCTCTACGGTTTCTCCTTCAGGACGTCATCTCTCATGTTTTATTCTTTAGGTCATGGGGTTGATTGATAGGTTTCCCGACTTACCCGTAGTGGTTACTGTACAGATCTACTGTGGCTGGGGGGATCTTTAAGGGCCAGGGGGCACTGCTAGGTTTATGCCTTAAGGTCGTCTGTTATGACCGGTGGGTTCTTAATTATTGTGTATACTTCACTGTTCCCCTCTCAGGGTGTTTCCTTTACGGTTTACCTTTTAGATTCAAGGTATAAGGTTCTCGATTTCGGGGTTGACGTTGTATGTTCCGCTGCTCATATTTTGGTTTCCCTTTCTGCTTCCTATTATTTCATTTTTCACGTTTTTTTGTTTAGGTCTCAGGTCTATATTGCACATTTAGGCTTTATGGCCATGGCTGATACCTCGTGGCGTCATTCCAGGGTCTATTCCTTAAGACCTGATTGTTTATTTCTCCGTCCGTATATTTATTGGTTATAGGTCTTCCTTGTAGATTTCATTTCTTATTCTTCATTCTTTAGGGTGTATCCTCTAGGCTACAATGTTCAACTTTCCGCTCTAGGATTAAGGGTTTGGAATTTAAGCCTTTGCCCTGCTTTGTTAAATTGTAGGCTCTAACGTCCATGGGGTTGGGTGTATGTTTTATGGTTTAGTGATGATGAAGTGTGCTTCAGGCACTTGTTTGCACATCCATTGCTAAGGCGGGGAGAGCTGACTTTTACGGTGTCGCTGTATTTTGTCAGTCTGGGCCCCTCCCCATCATCCTATGTTTTCCATGGCAGAGTCGGTAATCTGCTCCCCTGCACTGGTTTCTTACGCTTAAGCTTCGTCTTATTATTGCTTATGTTCGTGTCTTATCTGTTCCCCTCCTTATTTGGATAGCCGGTTGTAATTTTGATGGCTTATAGTTTATGGAACAGTGCTAAAGAGTACAGCCCCTTCTAGAGGGTGTACCTGTACTGCCCGTCGTTCAGGCAGGTACTGTACCGATTGATGTGGCATCTTTTAAACACCCGGTTCATCTACTTTTTATCCATGGTACGGTTCTTTCTGCTCATTGTCGCTCTGTATGGTGGCATCGTGTACTCTGCACCCTTCCCTTTTTAATGTTTAGGATTCATGCTTTATCTCTTATCCTTATGGCTTCATTCCTGAGTTTATCTGTCAGGCTTTATCCTCTACGTGTACGCCAGCATCTTTAAGTCTATTGCCGGGTTGTTGCTTCTACTCTTTAGTCTTCACCTGCATCTTGCGATAAGTAACTTTAGACGCCTAAGGGTCACTAATTATGCCTCAGCTGTTTTGTGACCATTTTCAGGGGTTTACGATCTAGGGGCTAGTGTCTGGATTGTAGGTTTTGGGGTTTAAGCTTCATATTACATGGCTCAGCCTCCAGTGTTTATTGGTGAGTCCTGTGGTTTAGTTTGTACTGGTACTCCTTACTTTTTATCCCTACGGTTAATTCTTTACATGTGCCGCCTTACTTCTGCGGTGTAGTCCTATTTCTCACCGGCTTATGCTTAGGATCCTGTGGCGTATCTTGAAGGTTTTCGGTTCAAATTTCATGGCTGCTGATTCAGCTCTACTTTTTACCTATGAGCGGATACGTTTAGCGTCTACTTCTTTCTGATGAAGTAGACGGTTGTTCTTGCACTCCTTATTTTTACGCTCTATAGTGTATGTGTACTGTGCATTGCTGAGGTGTATGTGCTATGGCTCATGCTGCATGGTGGTTTTTTTTATTTTCTCCTATTATTCTTTAGGGTATCCCGCCGAAGTTTTTCGCCTTAGTCATCACGTGTAGTTTCTACAGGTATTAATTTGGGGCGCCATCTTGTATTTCTGGTTTTTTACTTTTTAAGGCCTTGATATTTGTTGTATTACTTGGTTTTCAAGCTCGATTTCCCGCGGTGTTTGATCTATTTTGAAAGTTCTATGGTTAAGGTTTGTCCTTCCTGTTTTTGGTTGTGTCATCAGACTCTAAAGTTTATTCTCTACGGTTAACCATTTATTGCTGTGGGCTCCGGATCTACAGTTTGGAGCTCAAGCAGCCGCTCATAAGCATCATCGCTCACTCTGGGTGTCGAGGTGGTGTCCGTTTCCGTTTGATTTACTTTATTATTTCCTTCATCCCGCCGTAATCGCGCGCTATCTGGGTTTGTCTACGGCGCCTTCTTTTACTTTCTCTGTCTTGTCTCCTTTTAGGTTTCTGGGAACCCCCAAGAAGAGATATATTTGTAGATGCCTAATTATTCTCCCCATATCCAATATATCTTAATCGTGTTAATATAAAGATACAGAATAGTCAATGTTGAGACTCTGTCCGCTTCCTTCATTGAGATATATACAGAGGAACAAGAGTCTTACGGATCTAGTGCTATTTCCTTGACCTTTTTATTCTCATCCTTTTCCCATAGGATATATTTGTAAAATCGGGGAGTCATACATGTGGCGATGACACGCCTAATTATAGAGCACATATTCATCTATATTAATCCCAATCCATACTGTTTTAAGATCTCCTTTTCATGGGTTCTCTCTCATATTTGAATGTCTATCTTGCTATTTGTTCCTGTGAATTATGAATCCCCTTTAATGATATGATGATTATGGAAGGGGTATACAACACGTTGGGTGCTTCACGATTTTTTGAATTTTTTTATTGAAATCTGTGAACACATGTTGAAGGACTTGTATTTATCCCTTGATTTCCTGTTTTTACGAGGAATTGTTACAATGGACTCTCGAGTACAGGCGGTTATAGGAGAGTATTGCACAACTTTTCGATCAACTCATAGAGGAGATATGTTGTTGGTTATCGATTCCACTTGTTTGTTGGAATGTTTGTGTGCTCATAAAAAATATATGTATACGTGACGCCCATTAAATTATTCTTTGTATTTATCTGAGGATAATAAGAATTGCAGTGACAGATATCATGCTTATTGC